TAACAGCGGCGAGGAAACACAAGATGGACGACCACAATTTGCTCCAACAAACATAAATGTCTGCAGTTCAGAGGAATGGAGTTCCGCTTTGTTCTACACTTTGCAAGGAAATGTATTTACGAAATTATATGCAACTTTATATAACCAAAATGTTACCAAAATATACGATAAAATAGAGGATTTATTTTTGAACTATTCGCCCGCTACTCCGTTCGCTGTATAAAAAAAACTAAATTAGTAGCAGTTGTGTTCTTCCTGGTTCTATATCTATGCCAAATTTCATCGAGATCCATACATTAGTTCTCGAGATACCTTCAAACAAACATCCATCTAAACATTCGCATTTATAATATTAGTAAGGTAATTTTATTGAATGATATCCGATTTAAAATTAAATGCTATGAAGCTTTAAATTACACAAAATAAAGGACAATTTTGTAAACAAATAAAACAAAATTTGCAGATTTTTATCTCATGTATATTTTAAATACAATTTTACAATAATATTACAGTTCATAAAGGGAATATATTTAGAATCTAGAAATCTGGATCCTTAGGTATATAAATAGAATACATAACAGTATATGTTACAACGATAATTAACATAAAGACAAAATTAATAATACTAGCAAAATCAATCCATGCAGTTAAAATTTTAGCAACATCATTTTGATTTTCTCCAGTCGTATTCCATTTTGGCCAAATTATATATCTAGCGTATGATTCGAATACTTTTTCATTTATTGTAACTATAAAATTTGACGGTGGCTTAGACTTTTTACATAAATGCATCAAAAGGAATGTTATTCCAATAGCTAATAATGTTAAAATGATAGACGAACGCAAATATAATAGCACTGTTGGGGTATCCGCGCTATGTTTGGGCAAATCAGAATTGATTTCTTGTAAAAATGTAAAATGACCCAACAGTCCAAAACATAGCATACCTAAACGTATTTGGTCGTCAACATTTAATGTCATTGACCACACAGTTATAAAAGATAATACTAGTGATGGAACTATAACAATAGCTGCTAATCCGACCCCTTCACGTTGTAAGATGAAATTGAATGAAAATTTAATCGATTCTGAGTCATTAGTTTCACTTTTTGAAAAATCAACAATAGTCCATCCAGGGCCGTATTCCGCACCTAACATTTTGATACCTCTAGCACCATCTAAAACAAATTTAGCACGATCCAATCCTGGCTTCGAACCGAATTCGAAAGTACAATTTTGCGTGTCGAACGGCCAATGTGTTAATTTTGTACTGCACACAGTTTGGTGGACAACTCTAGGTATGCAAGTGATATGTCCCTTTGCTGTGATACGACATGCAGTCATTATGTAGTCAAATTCATCCTCACCACTTGAGCTGTAGTGTGATAGCTTCGGGGTCCAGATCTTCATACTAGAAAGTAGTATTTCTGTTATTCCATCATAGTTGTCTGGATTCCAGGTTAGTCTTAAATCATTCCAGGTAAGAAACACCCAGCTACTTATTGTGAATATTTCTTCATCGTGTTCGAAGTAGAAGGATTTTAATGTAAAACTGATATTTACAAGTGTTTCATTTGTACTTGGGGGTTGATATCTACTATCACATGCCGTCAAATCTTCTCGAAGCTTCTGTTCCCAGACGGTGTTCTTTGAACGATTGTCAATCACACATTCACTTCTTATTGAATTTACAAAAATAAATAACAATGCAAAAGATAATACGTCCATATTTGACAATATGGTATTACCGATTGACGTCTGTATGGCAATCTGTTCTATCTACGCCCCCTTTTGATAATTATGGTATATTCGATTGACAACGGATATTAAATTACAAAAGATTATTAGAGTAGCTTTTTAATAGCCCACATATAGTTTATTAGATGTGATCTGACGACGTGATTTACAAGATAGAACTGGTACGTTATTACCAGTTCGTAAATCGCTAAAATATAGAAGTGGCCGTCATCCACTATGACCTAGAAGGCGACAGATGCGTTGCCTATCTTTAATAGAGAGGGAAAGGATGGATGACAGGCAACAGTCATTCATCCCGTGATCCACAATCCAGTTATGCAGTTCATTACTATCTCCCTGTCCTTATGCCAGTCATGTAGGGTTGGTGCGCCAGTTTTCGTCCCCCAGATTGATTTCTCTTCCTTCATCTCGGTCGTAACAGTGTTTCTAATTATTGAAACTCAACGCAATCTATCCAGTTATGCAGGTATAATAATATATAACAATGTTAAAGGTGAATTTAATTTATAATGTGCAATAGTGACACGTCGATTGAGACAGTAAAATATTTATGTGCTGCGCTGCATTTAGTAAGACTTAAGTGATTGAAATGCAGCGCTTTAACGTGTTAGAGTACTGCTTAACTGACATGGCGATGTCTCTGACATTTGAAATTTCAGACTGTAATCTAGATTGATATAGCAAAAAGATTAACCAATTTAAAGTATAAAAATATTTAACTGCAATAATTATGATACAAAAGTAACTATTATCGACCAGTGGATAGTCTTTTTTAGAATCATCGCTATTGTAAATATTGAAAGACTGGTAAGCCATTTTTGAAGACCTAACGCGACATTCGAATACTGTCAAAATGTCATACAAATAATAACTGTATTGGTAAAAAGGTGTGATAAAAACTAGCAGTAAACTCCAGTTTTAAGCCAAAGGATTAAATGTTGTATGTCGCTTTGTATTACGTGTTTACATTTTTTTATTAGTGGAAATGTACTTTAAATCTTTTAATACCAACAAATCATACAAAGCGGTCAAACTTAGTTATTTTAAATGGTACGTGTCTTACATTTGATAAGCGACGAGGTCTAATGAATCGAGTTATACAATTTTGCAGTCCGTCGTAGCGAACGAGGGAAATGGGCGAAAACGAATTAAGGTTTTAACTCGCGGCATGTGACAGTTTTATAAATGAGTCCGCGTTTACACCGCAGTTATAATAAATAATCTATGGTCATCTGGCCTTGTCGCACTTACGTAGGGTTGACGCACCAGTTTTCGTCCTCCAGATCGACTGTTTGTTCCGTTGTGACCGACTGGAGCCTAAATGGATTAACCAATTTTGAGGAGTGTGGTGTCTTTTTTTTTCTCTTTCACTGCATACAGTAAATGAATAGAAATCAAAAGAGATATATCTCTCATATATAATAACAGATGTAGGCTATATAATATCAATTAGTCAAAAACAAGTATGAAACAAAGTCTTTTTTTTTTGTTTTTTAAATGAATATCTTTTAGTGTGGAGAATTTGAACTAGTGGTAGGAAATAAACACAGTTTTTAAAATCCTAGTGTTTTAGTAATAAATAAATAATAAAAATTTCAACTGTTATTTTCTCTTGTTTCATTTGCATTGCATCAACAGCTTTTGTAAGTCGAGTAACTTTTCAACCAACATATTTAAACATTCATCGTTCTGAGATAAAGACGGGTAGTTGCTAAAGAAAATACAAAACAACTAGAACTATTAAAATACTGCAGGGAAATACAAGGAAATTAAGAAAAGAAAAATATTTACTTCTCTGTATAAAAATTTACTGCAAGATGATGGTTTTTCGATAAAAAAATTTAATGCCAGTATTTTATAATAGTTGCTTTGTAGCCACTGACCTCTATACTCCTCTGGACCGGCTATAAGCTGTGATATTTTGTGCCTATTTGATTTTCGCCATTTGACGCCAACGGTAGCAGCAGACTCGAACTAAATAGAGTTAGCCAACAGTAACATCAATTGGATACTATTAAGTTGGAATAAAAGAAAGCTGTAATTTCCAAGCGAATATCTATTCAGTTGCTGTTTATAATTATACTCGTATTTTGAACAATTTCACTGAAATTCAGCTTTTTAGGACTTCACTCTGTAACTTCTGTAACTTCTTCACTGTAACTTCACTCTCATTTTTTGGTCTAAATTGACCGGACTATACTCAATTCTCCTAAATTAAAAAAGGGTCTTGACAGACAGATGGATGGACGACAAAGTGATCATATAAGGGTTCCATATTTTCCTATGAGGTACGGAACCCTAAAATTGCAATTTCTCTGAGAACAACTATTGAAAATCGAAAATATTCATAACCGATTTTACTCAACCCATCTCTAGTAAACTAACAAATGAATTGTCAAACTAATGCTTTTGCTTTTGCTCGGTATTTTTTTTTAATTGTGTTTTTTGGAAATTATATTTAAGTACGAATTACTAATAAAATGATAAAATATGAATAATATTTTCCGATCTTACCGATAGAAAAAGTTAAGTTTATGTTTAAGTTGATTATCGATAAAACACGAATAAAATGACATTTTCTAAAAATGATACCTAGCTAGATCGATTTATCGCCCCCGTAACCCCCTATATACTATAATAAATTTTATAAAAATCGTTGGAGCCGATTCCGAGATTCGAATTATACAGTATACAAGAATTGCTCATTTAAAGATATAAGAATCTAGTTACCAAACTTACTAATATTATGAATGCGAATGTTTGGATGGATGTTTGAAGATATCTCTAGAACGGCTGAACGGAGCTCTATGACATTTGATATACATATAGAACATAGTTTGGAAGAACACATAGGCTTTTTGTGTTTTTTTTACTCCGCGCGGACGCGGAAGGAGTCGGTGGCATCAGCGATTTTAATGACATCATAAATATGTATTATTTTAAATAATAAACTTCTCTTATAGTCTAATGTTTAACTTTTATTGGTTTGTTTCTTTTCATTATGTTTATTACGTAAATTAAATAACATGTTTAAATAAATGTTAATAAATTAATTAGTAAGCAATCGTGTGCTTTTATCTGATTTGCCTTTCATTTCGTTTTCAATTTGCTGCAAAGTCTTATCTTTTGTTTCTGGTAATATAACATATAAAATTGCTAAACAAAATGATACTATTAATGCATAAATTGTATATGTACCAGATACACCAGTATGTTCTATCATTAATGGTGTTAATTTTAATGTAGCAGCATAAAATATAGTAAAGGCAACACCGGATATACAAGAACACAAACCTCTATGTTCTAAAGGAAACACTTCAGATGATATTGTAAACGCAACTGGAATTATACCAACACTAGCTATGAAAGAATGCAACAATATTAAACAAGGAATTAACCATGTTAAATTTGATAGAAAATCATAATTAGATTTTGTAAATACAGCAATACTTATAATAAACATTAACAATATAGTAACGGATCCTAAGCCGAATAATAATGTTCGTCTATCAAATACTCTTATGACACAACAAGATACAGCTAAAGCTGTTATCAACAGTAAATCAGAAATAATAGAACCGTACATAGCTACAGAATTACTGCCAGTTATTTCTTCTAATATTTGTGTTAAATATGCAAGAAGAAAATATCTTCCGCAAGCATCAATACACAGTGTTACCAACGCAACGATAAAACAAGCTTTCAACATCTCTCTATTATTAAGTTGTCTATAAAATTTCTTAATCTGTGAAAGGTTTTCTGTTTTCTTCTTCAATTCATGTTGTTCCATTTGTGCGTTGATTAATTCCTTTAATTCCATTTTACTTTCAAGTGAGCTCCCATTTAACCATATAAAGGCTTTCTCGCATTCATCGAAACGTCCTTTCATTGCAAGATAAGATGGACTTTCAGGCCATAATAATGTAAACAGTATCGCTAAACTTATTGGTATTATACATATACCGGCTATTTGTCGCCAAGTACAGACGAGTGCTAAAGCATGACAAGTCAATGACCCTAGACCTATTGATATTTTCTTTAACGTCATAAAGTATCCTCTTCTTTTTGGTGTTGAATATTCTGATAGAGTAACAGCGGCTATAAAGACACCTCCTACAGTTAACCCTTGGATAGCTCTAGCTATGAATAGCATAGTGAGGTTGCTCGCAGTGGCTAATGTTATCCATCCAAAGAACATGATAACGTTCACTGTTATGTTGACAGGTTTACGACCGAAGCTTTGAAATATCGGTGATAATATGAAAAAACCCACGGTGCCACTGATTCCATTTATTGAAGCTGAAAAAGAGAATAATTTTTTATTAATTTTTAACAATATTTATTATTAATTTCAGGTTAATACAAGAATTGTTTTATACATGTAGGTTGACTAATAGATTTAGTTATAGTTCTTTTCAAATATTTTGGCGGCTCAAGGTCTTCCGCGCTGCGCAGTGCCTTCCCCCCGCTATGTCCCTTTATAGGAAATTTTTTTTTCAGTGTGGTGCCTCGCGCGAATTAAAGTGCCACCAAGATATTTCATAACTACTGTAATTTTTATTTTTTGTTTTTGAGTAAGATTTCGAAGCTACTGTGTGATTTTAAAAACACTTATAACAAAAGCTAGGAACATAGCCTTTTAAATAACTATGTTGTCGACTATCTTTTTTGTAAGATGCCTAGATCAACTACGCAGGCTCTGGTGATGATGATGTAGGTTAACTAAAGGATCTAGCAGTCATGAAGACAGAAAGAAAAACAAGTCCTTCTGTTCTCTTCTTTGTTATCTGTTCTTAAAAGATTTTGAAGAGTGAAATGATTCGTATTTGTACTCTTCCCTTATTGCTACAGTTAGGTATTAATTGTTTTATTACCTATCCATGAAGCTTGGTTCCTATCAGCTGTGATGTCGGTACTGTTGGGTGATAGAAGAGCTGGGTTCAAGACTGATGGAAAGGCGACCATCACGCCCGCGGAGAGCGAGTGTAGACATGCCACTAGCAGGACAAATATCTGTAACATAAACAAATACTCCATTGTATATCTATAACTAGCTGTTGCCAACGACTCCGTCCGCGCCTAACGAAAATAAAAGTACAATGCAACCGTTCTGGAGATATCTTCAAAATCCATCCATCCAAATATTAGCATTTATAGGATGACTAAAACCGCTGACCTAAGGTAATCACGCATTTACCTATAAGAATCTGCGAGGGCTCAGGCAAGGTGACTACGGGATGAGGCAGATGACTATTGTTCTAAAGGTACGCGTTCATTGGTCCACGTCAGACGTACCACATGCCTGGATTAAACGCAATTGCTTAGTCTTGATGCGATGCGGGCGATAATGGACACAGCGCTATGTAAAATCATACAAAGCAAACTAAAATCCGTTGCGGGCCGTGCGTCCGGTGCGTCCGGTGCGT